AGTGCTACTAAATTATAGGTTTTTAATTTCATCAGACAAATGAAGCCTGTCTATGCTCACTAGATTTGTACAATTCTTCTGCTTGTAGGACTCAGGGCAGGTTGTCCTCTCACATCATGAATTATCAGCACTGCATTTTTATCAGTGCCATATTGCTTTTGCTAGGTCTTCCATGCCTTGTTCCTGTGAGCTAGTCTATTTAAGTTTTGGGTTTCTTCTCCTCATCGGAAGAAAATATTCTACACTGCTCCTCATTCAAAGGAAAATATTCTACACTGCCATGTTTTTACATCCCTATATGGCATGTGTTTTTATCTTTTGTATCGATTTATAGGATCATATGAGAGCAGGCCTGGATCGGACCTCACAAGGCCATCTAGTCCAGCTCCCTGCCCAAGTCAGGATCAGCCCTGACTAAACCATCCCAGCCAAGTGTCTGTGTTATCTGCTCTTGAAAATTTCCAGGGGTGGAGATTCCACTGTTTCTTTAGGTAGCCTGTTCCAATGCTGGACCGCCTTCATAGTCAAATGGCATTTATACATGTGTTCCAGGAGTGGGGGGAGGGAGGTGCACTTTAATCAGAGTGGCTCCAAGAGCTGTTCTAATTAAAGCACCTGGAATGTCTCATGTATCAGCATTCCTTCACTTCCAAAAGGGGGGACAAAATGGTGGCAGGGGTGCTTTATCTAAAGCTTGTGCAACCAGGTTTAGATAAAGTGCCCCTGCCACCATTTTGAAGCACAGGGACGCTGATGCACAAGATGTGGGAGGCTGCTGGAGCTCAGTAATTGCCATTGGAATTTATTATTTATTATTATTATACGGCTTATTGGAATTACAGTATGTCGGAGCAGCCTCCCTGCTCGTGTATAGGCACATTAAAATTCCTCCTAAACTCCAACCTAAATTTCCTCTGCTATAACTTGTGGTCATTGCTTCTAGTCCTGTTCCCTATAGCCACAGAGACAAGGCTGTCTCCATCCTCCTGAGAATAGCCCTTCAGGTATTTGAAGACTGGTTCTTCTCTTCTCCAAACTAAATAACCTTAGTCCTTTCAGCCGTTCCTCATAAGTCATGCTTCCTAAACTTCTAATAATTTTTGTTGCTCTCTGATGGACACTTTTCAGTCTCTCCCCATCTTTCTTGAAGTGTGGGGCCCAAAACTGGACCAGTACTCCTGATGAGGCATCACCAGTGCTAAATATAGACTCTAATAATCAATATAACATTGATTAAAGCATATACTAGTAATACTTTATATATTTTAACATCACCCTCCTTTCAGTTCTTTCCTGGTAGATCTTCTTTACAGATTACTGCTTCACACTCATCCCATCCTACTACCTCACTCAGTTTTCTATTCTTCACTCTCATGTTTTCTCACTGTAAAAAACCCCCTTTTTCTCTATCATTTGCTTTTATCCCTTCCCTACTGCTCTACTGTTACTTCTTCGAGGCTGGCTGTCATTGAATACACACTTAAAAAAAATTATGTTCAGTATGTAATTGCAGTAAAGAAGAGTAGTGAGATGTCAGGATATAGAAGTAATAGTTTGGAGAATAGCATTGAAAACATGTAATGCCTTTATACCTATTCTGTAAATCAGTGCTGTGGCCTTACCTAAAATGCTTTGCATAATACTGGTCACCTGTTTCGGAAATGATATTGCAATGCCTAAAAGCCTCCCATATGAAGATCGAAAAGTTTAGGGTGATTTATTTTAGAATGGTGATGAGTAAAATGGGAATAAAAAAGTAAACAAAATGATGGGCACAGAGAAGTTAGAATAAGAACATCAATTTTCCTTATTTCATATTTCAAGAACAAGGGAACAGGTCACAGAAATTCATAGCAAAGGAATATTTTTCTACAACATGCAACTAAAATTATTGACATGAAGCGTAACAATGTTCAGAAAGATGCAGTTGTGTATAGATATCACGATCCATATTTATATGGCTATTCAGAATATCTGGTACCATGACCAATGACAGGTATTTTGGAAAGGATGTTTAACACCCTGCTTCAGGTATTATGGCAATCTCCGCCCACCACAAACAAGGATAAGGATTATTTGGGGTTAAATTATTCTTTGCATGCCTTCTGTAGAATTCTTGCCCCTTCCTATGAAGTTTCAGGTTCTGGTAACTCCTTGAGATAGGACTGGATTTGCTGCTAATCCAATGCAATGTTGCAGGTTGAGTCCCCTTTTTTTCCTGTTTTAGACCTAATCTCTTCCATAGTCTTGCATACGGGATGTCTTTGTTCCCTTCTATGACATGCACATGTTCTTTCTTATGTGAACATTTGTCTCCTTTCCTGAGGTCATCCACATTTTGTAGGAGAGGGGAAAGTCTGTTTTATATTTTTTTCTACTTAAACCAGACACACAGGATTTTCTTTTCTTTTATTAAGTAGTGGGGAATTTTTCCTTCCATTTTCCCTGGGTACCAGGGGAAAATGGGTCTTTCCTATCTCTTGGGCTACATGAAGGATGGGCTTAATACTTAAGTCGTGCAGTTTATAGCCTGTTCATTTCTTCTTCTCGTTCCTCTTCACTTTACCTCATTTCTTCTCCTCCCCATTGTCTGTCTTAATACATTTCAGGCTGCAGGAGGGAGAGGGATATTTGAATAGGCGTGCGTGTTCCTGACGGCCTGTTCTGCTCTTATCTGTTTCTGCCTTCATAGGAACAGCTACTCAGGCTAGCGAGAGGGATATCTAATGATAGTGGTTGATAATGCTTAGTTTTTGGTAACAAGTTAAATCTCCCACTTAGTTCTTACAAATATTAACTGCTGCTTTTTGTACTCTCCAAAAATGTCAGCTGTTGGAAGTAATCCTGAATTTACTCAGTTAATTCTATTATGTGTTTTTATTTTCATTCATTCTTGAAAACTCTCCAATCCTTGAAATGTAGTGGATAGAAACATTCAAAAAAACATCTATCCAAGCTTTTTGCATTTGGCATAAGTACAGCAGACTGTGTTAGATAAAGCATGCTTCTAGAAGGATCATTTTGAATTGACTGTTGTCGTGATGCATTTTCCATTATTTTCTTGGCCAGACTGACTCTTCAGAATATAAAGCTCATTCAGTCACAGCATTTCCCTTGTGCTGTGCAGTAAATGTATGAAATATTCTCCAATCATTTTTTCAAATACTAATTATGATTAGTATGTACAGTGGATGCTAGTTGCAGTCCAACTGTTGCTTTACCATGAGGTTAGTCTGTAGCAGTCAAATGTCCATATGGCAAGAACAAAATTGTATTGCTGTAAGAGCTGTGTTCATTCCCAGAGAAAAAATGTGATGTTATTTCTTCTTAAATAGGTGCATGTAGAAAAAAATAATACATTCTGTCTGCATCTCTTGGAAATAAATGCATTGCTACTTCTAAAAAAAAATGGTTTTTTTTCAAGGCACAGAGTTAAAATAGCATAATGTTGAGTTTACAATAACTGTATTATACAGCTGTGATAAACAGTGACTTAACCTAAAATATACCTCCTAAATGAAGACTTCATTTAGCCAATTTGTCTCAAGTAATTATTAACTCAAACTAGAAAATGTAAGCAGACCTCAAATAATATATGACTATGCCAGCAGTAATTGTGTGGTTAAAGAATTACTTACAAGGCAAAGAAAATATATTTGGAAAACAAGTTTTGGTTCGCTATTGTACAGCCACTGTAAAAATGGTTACCATCTTACTCAAAAGATTGACTCTGTGTTTTGTGTATTCAGAGTTGTTGACTTTGTGTCAAAAAGTCATTTTTATGACTTCTGGTGAACTGGATTCCTTTCTAGCTCACATGAAGTCCTAATCTTTTGAGGCTGAACATTACCTGCTTGAATATCAACTACTCCAATTGAAGTCAATAGGAGTGAAGTGCTAGTAAACCTCAGTTAAGCAAAGCACTTGATTTGCTGGGGAGAAACTAGAGTAAGTTTGAAGACTAGAGGGTGAAGGAAGATTTTGCAGGTAGAATGACGGGGGGTTGGTTTGCAGAATGTTTTACGAATAATGATACATAAATTGGAGAACCCAAATTGACATACTAGTTTCAGACTGTGAATCAAGCAAATGAGGGGAAAAAACAATTTTGTAATGGCTAATATAAAATTGACCTAGACATACTTATGGGGGAAACAACATGGAAACCAACTGCTCTGGCTTTTGTAATTTTGTAAGATAAAACTGTTCTTTAACAATATTTAAAAAAAATAGAATCGTAGGATTTTAGATTTATTTGAAATTGAAGACAGCATGGCTCTGCACAGATTCAGGGCTTGATGCTAGCAGTTTTGATTGTAAGCTTGGGGCTTAAGACAAGTGTTTTTACTGAGGGCTGGGAAAAGGATGAAGAATATAATATTTGTAAATAAGTGAATACATACATAGATGTAGGTGTCCTAACTACTTCTTTACTTAGATAATTAATTGGCTAATTTCTGTAGAGATGTGAACATAAAACTCAGTGACCATTAACATTATACAGAGTGCTGAGCATAACTCAGTCAGTGGTAGCTGAAATAAATTACACCATTTGAAAAGGTCATACTGATTTACTTAATGTTTTCCAAAGAAATGAGGCATATTGTGTAATAGTGAGACTAGTTCCCTTTTCAGCACAGCTTTTATAGTTAAATAGTCTTTCATTGTTATCCATCACTTTTAAAAATCAGTTAACGTAGCCCAAAAATCCTATAGCAATTTAACGTTTTGTTGTTGTTAAACTTTGTAATCAGTATTTATTGTTACTCCTAGCATGGGTGGGAAGTGGTTGATTCCAATGATTCTGCATCTCATCGCCAAGAGGAGTTACCGCCACCTCCACTGCCTCCTGGATGGGAAGAAAAAGTGGACAATCTTGGTCGTACTTACTATGTCAACCACAACAACAGGACAACTCAGTGGCACCGGCCAACTTTAATGTAAGTGTTAAACAATTGCAATAAATTGCTTGGGCCAAATAAGATTTTAAGTATGGATATTCATTCTTTCAAACAAAATTATTTTCACTCAGGAGAGCTGAAGACTTTTCAAGGAAAGAAAAGGAAACATACTGTTGCATAGTTCTTTACCATAACAGATGGGTTGCAAGTTTAATGTGAACTTTGATATATATCTGGGAGTATTCTCTTGACTCTTATCTTTAAGAATAGGGACCGACATTCAAAAAGCTGGAGACTGAATTGATTCAATCTTTGCAGGTTAGTCTAACCTGCCTAGATTGAACCAATCTGCAAGTAAATAGACATTCAGGAAATGCAGGCAGATGCCTGCAGTTGCTCAGGCCGGAAGCTCGGGGGGGGTGCTAGAGTAGTCCTCAGCTACAGGGAAGCTATGCTAGGAGGCATGGCCAGCCCCATCAGTAGTAGCCTCAAGTGAACTGGCCAGGGAGGGGGTTTAATTCCCCCATCTCTGTCCTACTGGCATGGACCCGAGCCAGGGTCCGCCTGGTACTCCCTCCTCACCACTACAGCAGCAGGGGCAGGGGAATGGCCATTCACCAGCCAGCATGGCCCACTGAAGCAGAGTGGGAAAGGAGGGGGTTTATTCCCCCCCTCCACTCCACTCTGTCCTTCGGAGACTACAGCCAGGGTCTGCCAGCCCCGATGCCACTGATAGCTCACTGTGTGAGGCAAGTGGCAGGATAAGCCCCCTCCCTGCCCCCTCTGCCAGATGCTGGGGGGAGGAGGGAAATGCTGAAGTGGTGAGTGGGGAGCGACCCTGGTGGGGCAGCAGCCACTCTCATGGTTTCCTGAGAGTTCAAGCCTTTTCTCGGGGGGGGCCTGAGCTGGGGTCAGGGCAGAGTTGGGCAGGCAGAGCTGCTGCAGACTGCGCAGGGTGAGCATGGTACCAGGGCTTGGACAGGTGGCCATAGCCTCGCAAGCCCTCCCTAGCACTGCCACTGCTCGCCCCTTGCAGTGTGTGGCAGCTCTGCCTGCCCTGCAGTGTAGCCTGCCGCCGGGAAGAGGCACGCACTCCTAGAAAAACTATGATGGAGGCTGCTGCCCCTGTCAAGGTCCCTGCCCCTTCGCTGCTCCAGTAGCAGGGCTGGGGGTATGGCCACAGGCTGGCCAGCATGGCCCCCTTTTGCCAGGGGGAAAGAGGGGGGTTATTCCCCCCCCCTCCATCCGGCATGTGGTGGAGTGGGTAGGCAGGGGGGTTATCCTGCCACTCTCCCTGCTCAGGGAGTGATCATCAGGGCGGGCAAACCCTAGCTGCTGTCTCTTGTCGGTAAAAGGGAGAATAAACCTTCTTCCTGCCCCCTCTGCCTCAGGGGGCCATGCTGGCCAGCATCTGGCTGCGCTCCTGCTACTGCAGCAGTGAGGGGAGAGCGCTAGGCAGGCCCGAGCCCAGGTCTGTCAGTGGGTCAGGAGGGAGGAATTAAACCCCCTCCCTGGCCAGTTCACTTGAGGCTACTGTCAGGGCTTGCCATGCCCCTGCCACTGGAGGAGCAAGTGGAGAAATGCCTGTCAGACCTTGCTGGGGTCCATGCTGGTGGGATAGGGGAGGGAAGGGTGAATAAACCTCTTCTCTGCCCCCTTTTCCTTAGCGGGGACTGACATCTGGCCACAGCCCTGCCTTTGCCCACCCATGCTCCAGCTAGGGAGCAGAGGGGCAGGGACAGCTCTGCTCTCTGGAGCTGAGAACATAGCCTAGCCCAGGGCTGCAGAGCATGCTGGGATGCTGGGGGACTCTGATTTAAGTTAAACCAGGAAGGGGTCTGGGACAGAAGTTGCATAAACTGATTTGAGCTCAATCAGTTAAGTCTGATACTACATTCAACCAGGTTTGTCTTAAACTAGTTTTGGCCATTTTGAAACTGGTTTATGTTACCTGAACCTATGTTCTGTTACAGGTTTAAACAAGTTTCTGATTACTTAAACCAGTTTATGTGTAACATCAGTCCTTAGCCTAAGAGGTTATTTCTCTCAAACCATTCCAGTTGAAAATTAGAGGCCGCGGTCCTTCACTTAGTGTCCCAGGTATTCAGCAAGGTTGTCTCCTAATGGTGTGTTTAGCACAAATACAGAGTGAAGGAATCCTTGCCTGCAAAGGAATATGCCTCCAGGGGTCCCTAGGGGCAGCTGAGTGCACAGGAGAGTATTCATTGGCTGTTTGCAGTAGAGCACTATGGGTTGCTGGGGAACTGTGGGGTGCTGAAGGACTGAGAAACCCCCATCATGCTCTGCTAGAGCATAGGGATATTCGAAAGGAAGTGTTTCAAAGCTCATCTCGTGTTTTAAGGATCGTGTCTGAAGCCATTTTTAAAACACTTTTATGTCCGTGTGGCAGTTAACTGAAATTGAACAGTGGGTAATTGGCAATGTGTTTAAGATATTGGGAGGTTTGCACTGAATCTTCAAAGTATTCTGCTATAAAAGGCAAGGAAAATCTATAGAAAGCTTATTACATTTAAATTAAGATAAATCTAATGAGCTTTCCAAGGAAATCCTGATATAGGTGTACAAACTGTAATTTATGTAATCTTCTTATGCTGCTCTCAGAATTGTTTAATTTTTTTAAATTCTACATTACTCATGATTACACTTCTAAAAATATGATAGGCTTAAAGGCTATACATGATTGAGTAGGGAAGGTTGAGCACAGAAATCAGACGTTAGTCAACCGTCTAGATTTATTTTGCTTTTTCACATGCAACTATTCATCTTCAGTGAGCTGTTATTACAGAAACGTCCCTTGTTCTTGCTTGAGCGTTTATATCCATCACCATAATTTATATTATGCCCACTGGGTTGTCTTAAGAGCCTTCTGCTTTACTTGATTTGTTTGTTTATTGTATTCAGAATTCTAGTGACTAAAATATGCAAGCATTAACTTGAGCACTTATTATGTATTTATTAAAAATAATAGTTCTACTAATGCTTAATACAATATTTTGCCACTTATTTTGTAAAATTTGCCTTATTTTTAAAAAACAAACTGTTACAATGGAGTTTGGGATACTGTATTTTGAATGATGGATCTCTACTAGGTTGCCATATAATTATGGTCATGGCAAGCAAACCATTCTTCAATGAGATTACAGGTTTGATTGATCAAGGTAATTACATCCCTGTAATATACCTAGGTTCGGAGCCTATTCTATCTCTAGTATTTCTTTGGGTCTTTGGTCTGCTTTCAGGCATCTTAACCACAAAGATTTTATTCCTCTGTGCTCAGGAGGCAAAAACTGACTAAGACATCTAGATTCCTTATGCACATCAATTTTGGCCTAATATGATCCCCAGACAATTGGACTTGAGCTTTTGCACATGCTCAGAAGTGACCCAAAATGGCTACTTAGCAGTCTATCTGCACCTGGGCTCTGGTTCATCTGGGAAACAAACAAACAGTACAGAAATCCCCCAGTACATTAGATGGAGAAGAGCCATGCTAACTGAGCCATGGTTTAAAGTTAAGACTGTACGTGCAGCTCATTGTTGCTTGTTGAGAAGGATAACGAGGAGGAGGGCCCATTCCTCTTTTGCCTGTTAGCACACTGGTTAGGGCACTTGCTCAGGAATAAGGGAGCTGAGTTCTAGGCCCCATTTAGTTAGAGGGTACTTTAGTTCACATCTCCTACTTCTCAGAGAAGTACCTAACCCCCAATCTATGAACAAGGCAGGATTGAAGCCACTAGGCAGCTAGAAGTCATTGGGCCAGAAGGAGAGGCAGCAAGAACAAGCTTGACGGAGGCCCAGTAAGGGAGGGCGTTCCCTTGAGGGAGAGGAAGGGAGCTCTGGATTCAGTTCCTTGCTCCCAGCATTGTTCATGCATTTATGCTTATGCATAAAGATGTATAGGGTAAGGAACGTGTCGTCTGATTTGCTAGAAGGATAAGTATCTTCTCGTGTCCCTAGTTCAGATACTGCCACTGGCCAAAGAGAAAATGAGGACAGTTATACCATGGTCTGTGTGTGTAGTATGTAGCCTGTGGGTTGCATTTGGCACTTGAGGCTTTAAACTGTACCCTTCAAAGCCTTGTTCTTAACCTAAATCCCTCTTAAAGGCTGCAGCTCAAACTTCAAAGGCTGTATTGGCCCTCCCTCATCTGCCCACCCAACATCTTCCCTGAACCAGGGGCTGTAGTAAAGAAGGTGGGGCCTGGGCTGCATAGATAACAGGGATTTCTCTCAGGTCAGGGAGATCCCCAGTAGGAATATTAAGGTGGTTTCCACTCATTCACCTGCAAATTAGCTGTTGGGGATTTCCCCAGCTGGCACAGAAGCACAATAGCTTGTGCAAATCCTCATCCTCCTGCTTGCAGTATCTTGTTCAGGTCATTTGGGGGGGGGGGGGAATAACTGGACTGCAGTGCATTTAAATACATGTTCCTTCTCAATTCTCCCTTATACAGAGGGTGAAGCAGTGCAGGAAACCAGTCCCAAGGCACTGGTTGTGGCCCCTTGAATTTCTTGAAACGATGTGCTCAGTCCTCAAACTGAAAAGTGTGATGACATAATTAATCCTTATGAAATTAGATGATATTCCCAGGTCAGTTTAGTTTGAAAAGGTCCATATTGCAGAATCTCTGACACTTATCCTCCACGATTGGCAATCCCCTCACAGAATCCAAGGTTTGAAGTAAATGTAGAACTGGAAGCAAAGTGACAGAAGATCTCGTATACGGAAATGTGTGTTAATTTAAAGGTAATAATCATTTTCTTATTCTCCTCTCCTCTCCCATTTTCTCGTTTCCACAATGGCCAGTGATATGGCATCTGAATCAGACAACAACATTAGACAAATAAACCAAGAGGCGGCTCATAGACGCTTTCGATCTCGGAGACACATTAGTGAAGATTTGGAGCCAGAGCCCATGGACAGTGGAGATATACCTGAAGTACGTATCAGCCTTGGAATAATTTCCTCAGCATTGAAACTGTTTTATGGTTTTAAAATAATCTACCCAAACAGATGCGTTTTATTTGCCAGTTAGTTAATTTCTACTGTGTCGAGCAGTATCTTTTCAGACCAGTGTTTTTACAAGGTGTTTTGCGATAACTGCCTGAGTTAAATTCTAGTGGTAATTGGGTAAAATAAAACCTAACTAAATCCGTGTATTCAGAGCCATACAAATTTTGAATATCTGACATGCATACACACATCAAATAATAAAAGCACAGGAGAGTTCTAGGATAATTAGACTTCTAGTTTTGTGCATTGGTTGTTATGGGCAGGTTAAGGAATACATTTTTCCTCTATGCTCAGCTTTGAAAAATTGGTTGGGAGGTTTAAGAAAGAAGTTTAAGTAATCACATTAACAAAATGAACTCTGAATGTGGAAAAGACGGGCTTTTTTCTTGTTCCCCCTCTCCCCCGTAAGTCTAAGGCAGCATTTCACTATTTGAATGTTTAGTTTACGTAGATTTGAACTGAGTAAATAAAATTTGCTTAGAAATATAAGCAGTCTTTCAGACTTAAGCTGGCTGTTTCATTCAGTTTTCTTGAGTATTTTATGATAAGATTCAGAAGGAACAGTTTATATTCTAGGAGGTATTTTTTATTTCTGCATGCCAGTCATGCTAGAAAGTAAGAAGTTGCTGAGACCATGCTGCACTCTCATCTTTCACTTATAATTGATACCCTGTATGTATTAAGAACAATTTCCATAAAGCATTTCATTGTAAAATGCTGTTATTTAAGGCTAGGGACAGAAGTTACACATAAGCCAATTTAAGTGATCAGAAACTGGTTTAAACCTGTAACAGAATATAAGTTCAGTGCGCACAAATCAGTTTCAAAATGGCCAAAATTGGTTTAAGGTAAACCTGGTTGAATGTGTTATCAGACTTAACTGACTTGGGACAAACTGGTTTATGCAACTTCTATCCCAAACCCCTTCCTGGTTTAAGTTAAATCAGTACTCCAGCATGCCTGGCAGGGCTGGGCTGTCTGTTTGTTCCAGCCAGGCAGGGTTGGCCCCACTCCTCTCCTCCCTAGCTGGAGCACTATCTGGGTCGGGTCTGCTCTGCTCTGCTCTGGCTGGGTCAGAAAAAGATGGGGATGGGAAACCCTGCTCTGTAGTGTTGCCAGGTCTGCCTGGCAAGGGTGCAGCGGCCTTTGCCAGGCATCCCCAGATCCCCACCCCATCTCACTCACTGGCTGGTAGCAGGGGCAGGGCTACACCCTGGTAGCCTGAGAGAAAGCAGGGGTTTAATCCTCCCATTGCAGGGGGGGTAGCACAGGCCCTGACAGGCTGCACTTGTGTACCTAGGACTGCGGCAGCCAGATGCCAGTAGCCTGAGGGAACGTGGGGGGTTTACTCTCTGCATTGCAAGTAGCAGCAGTGGGGGGTACTGACATGGCACCCTGGGCCAAGTCCCTCCAAGGAGCTGCCAGCCAGCTGCGGGAAGGGGGGACGTGACTTGGTGGCAAGGGGGGAGCTGGGACTAGTTACAGCCCAATTCACTGCTGCCTCCTGCTGCAGCAGCGCAGCTGGGGCTGGCATGGCCCTAGGGGGTGGGGGTCAGCACCTGCTGCCCCTGCCTCCAGCCCTGTGCGGGGGCTGTGGCTTGCAGGCAGGCTGCAGGTGCAGCACAGCTCCCTGCCCCCATATCTTTCCCAGCAGAGGTGGTGGCAGAGCGAACTATCATGGAGGGTGCACATGAGCAGACTGTCGCAAACCAGTTGCTGCCCTGGACCACGTGGCCGGGCCAGACCGGACTGGGTTGTGGCAGTCCATTGCCTTTCCCCACTATGGCCCATGCCCCAGGCCTGCAGTAGCCCACCCTGAGCAGCGGTAGGTAACAAGTGCTTCACCTGCGCCCACCATGATAGTTCGCTCTGCCGCTGCCTCTGCTGGGAGAGGGAGGGGGTGGGGAGCCACATGGCAGATGCGGCCTGCCTGCAAACTTTGGCCCCCCATGCAGGGCTGGAGGCAGGAGGTGGCAGGTGCTGCCCCCCCACCCACTGGGGCTATCCCAGCTCTGGGCACACTGCCTCAGCAGGAGGCAAAAGTGAGTCAGACTGTAACTAGTCCCAGCCCCCCTCCCTCCCCCTGCAGGCAGGTCACATCCCCTCTCCTCACTCCCTCCCTGCATCCAGCTGGATGCTTCTCGGAGAGACTCGGCCCTGGATGCCATACCAGTGCTCCCCACTGATGCTGGAATGGAGAGATTAACCCCCACCCCTTGCCCTAGGCTACTGGCATGTGGCTCCCATGGTCCCGGGTGCATGAGCGGAGCCTGTTGGTGCCCACGCTGCCCCTCCCCCTGGGTAATGGGGGGATTAAAACCCCCACTTCCCCTCATGCTACCAGGGTCTGACCCCACCCCTGCTCCTGCTGCCAGCCAGCAAGTGAGGAGGGGTGGAGGTCTGGGGATGCCTGACAAGGGCTGCTGCCCCCCTCCACCTCCAGGCAGATGAGGGTGGGGGTTTAAACCCTTCCCCAGTCATACTCAGGCCTGCCTGGTCCTGGCCATGCCCCTCTTCAGCTTAGTTTCCCTCCAGCTGAGGGCTTGCTCTAGCACCCCCCGGTTTCTGGCCTGAGCCACTACAGGCACGTTCCTGCATTTCCTGAGTCAAAAGTGAATGTCTGTACACTTACGAATTGGTTCAGTCTACACAGGTTAGACTAACCTGCAAAGATTGAATCAATTCAGGCTCTGGCTTTTTGAATGTCTGTCTCTAGCCACTAAGTCTGTATGTTAATCCCATCTCAGTGCAGATTGTGGTCATGTTTTAAAACAAACTCAAACAGTAGAAGGAAAAATTAATAAAATTTAATTCCATTGGGAGTACATTTAATGAAACTTTCATGCCCTTTCATCTGCAGTTGATTAGTTTGATTTGTATGTTTACACCCAAACCATGGTTTCTGTAGCACTATGGGGGATATTGTCACTAGAATAGCTACCACTCTTAATTTCTTGTGACCTTTGGCCTCATTACAGAGGTTGTAGTTGTCCGTCCATCCCACCATCCATCCATCTGTCCTTCCTTCTGAAGTCAATTATGCAATATTTAAACAGCAGAACTGATTAGCACGTGCTAGTGATATTGTAGGCAGCATTGAAGGTACTCAAAGTTATATGTCTGCCTCATTATTTCCACCGATAACCCAGTGGAGACTTGTCACAAAGCAATTAAAATGCACATATTGCTGCAAGAGCATGGGTCAGCTAGGAGAGCTCTGCAGTGGTAAATGTTTGCTGTCATCTTTTCCTTTCCCTTTTGTCAGCCCTGGGAAACTATTTCAGAGGAAGTGAGTGCAAGTGGAGATTCCTTAAGCCTGTCCTTGCCACCTCCCCCGGCCTCTCCAGTTTCTCGGACCAGTCCCCAGGAGCTGTCTGATGAATTGAACAGAAGGCTCCAAGTCACTCCTGATTCCAATGGGGAACAACTCAGTTCTTTGATAGTAAGTATTGTGCTCACTAGATACACTACTGAACAGACCTCTGTGACTGTATGTCTGATACAGTGTCTGACTGTCTGAATCATCCATATATATGGGCAGTTGTTTTTGGTGGCATTATGAATATACTAATTCATATATGTAGGCTGGGATTCCTTTTTTGGTAACTTCAACCTTGTCCCATAATTTGATATTTGAGGTTGAACAAGGACAGGATTATTTTATTAATTACGTATCTATACTTTCTATACTGTAGTATACTGTACTAAACTGTTGTACTTTTTTAAAGCAGAGTTTGGATTGCCCAGTATTTCATAAACAGTGGCTGAAATTCTATTCCATTGAAGTCAGTGGGAGATTGGATTGAATTCTTAAAGTAAAACATTTTGAAGTCTTATTTAGTTTTCACTGTTAATTCTTTGCTGTTCAGTTAAAAAGAGCTTTGTTGGTTTTGCTTACCGCTTGTCATGCATCTGCAAGATACAGCAATATCAATTTGAATTTCAGTGCTACAATGCAATGTTTGTTTAGCTTACAGAGTGCGGTGCTTTGTTTCTGTGTCTTTCTTGCTATTGTGTGTTGTGTTTTCATTAGCATTTTGCAAATGAACACAGAAATCTTTCTGTTTATCCTAAGTTTTTACTTGCACTAAATTTTAATAGGAAACCTTTCTTTAAAATTGACTGTACAATGTATTCAGTTAGAAGTTCACCATTCAAAATACCACTAACAAGAAAATAACTAACTTGCCTTCTTTCATTTTGGTTTAACTTTCTTTTCTCTGAGTGAAATGTGGCAAAACTACTACAGTTAAAATCACACTGCTTGTTTTTTTTCCAAAAAAGTATTATGCTTCTGATGAATTTTATCATTTTCCTTTATTTTTACTTGCAATCAACAATTTGCAAAAATCTGTCTCTTGAAAGTGTTTTAGCTTGATCATACAATTACAACAGTAGTTATTTTATGAATACAATTCCCTGTATGTGCATGTATATTTTATCAAAAGTATTATTCTCTTGACAAAGACCCCACAATTGAACTGGATCAAATATCAAAAGGCTTATAAAAGAATATAATTGTAGCTATTTAGTTGTGGTAGAATCTTTAGGTAATTTGAAGCAGTCAATCAAGGTTTTATAAGCCCTGTATGTATGTTCTCTCTCCTCATTAGGATGAGAAGTTACAACTTGTATTTGTAATATCCTGTAATCAAGGAAGACTGATATCACAGAAGAGAAGAGAGATATGATTGCAGGCTTAGGCATGTCTTATATCTCTGATAAAAGAAACAATTGCAAATATTGAATGGAACATAGGAGGCTGAACATATTGCAGTCTAATGGGACATCTTATCAAGGTACCTTTGTTCAGGAGATAAGGAGTCTAAATTTGGCTGTGTTCAGCTTAAATATGATTTTATAAAATAAAGTAGCTGTAAGGTATACTCAGAAATCCTGTTCAGTTGATGTCTTACAATGACTTCAGTGTCACCTGCAGACTAGCCCAGTAAACTATAACCTCAATTAGAAAAAGGAAGAGCTGAAAGGGTAAAACCTCTATGCTTGAGTGGTCCTCCAGAGGGGTCCATCCACATTGGACCAATTTCAGGAACAGGACCTAGCATCTTTTATTTGACGAGAAAATACCGGAGCTGGGAATTTGTCTTCATTAAGATACCCAAGTAATAATATTTTGCTATAAACTGGCTAATTTACAGAGCCACTAGGTGCTTTCTCTTGCATATTATCGCAATCATAATTATAATCAGAGCACTTTTCAAAGTAAGAAAACACATTGAATCATTAAATATATATGTATGTGTATAGAAGCTCTTTTATCATGTGATACATAAATACGTCTGTGTAACACTGTATATACATCTGTGTAAGACTGCACCTCAAGTTGCTAATCTTGATCACATTATTTGTGAAGCAAGTCTTGTCCCACACATCTTGGGTGTATAATGAGTTTATATTTCTTTTTTAAAGTCGCTGATCTTTCAGTAGTGTGCACTGTTGAGCCCAATACTTTTAATCTAACCAAATATGGATCTTATGGGGGAGGGTTGAAGATTCTAAGATGCTCCTCATTATTTTGCTTCATGCTATTTTTTTGTGTTACTGTAACACATAGGAGGGCCATTCTGAGCCATTCTTTAAATAGGCGAGAGAGTTTGTATAATTTTAGTGCATTCTAATTCATACTTTATTTCTTATACTCTTCTAAATAGGAAATAAAATACCTAAAGTAATGAGAGTGCAAAAAATTGAAAGCTCCTAAAGGATGATCTATATGTATGGAACTTGCAGCCCTATTCAGACTGTATAGAAAAGCAATGCATCTAGTAAACAGCTGACATGAAAGCAGAGCTTGTCAGCAAAATTAATTGTGGCAAATCAGAAGTCTATTCTGAAGGGGGGGAGTTACTGATGCTAGAAAGGAAGAGTACAGCTAATTGATTTTTCCATCTTGTGGGATTTCTAATGAGAGTAACAGAAACAAGTTATCATTGATTTTAGGCCAAATGCCTCCCAAATGTCCTATGAAACCAGTACAGTATGTGGTGCTGTTTTAACGTAGAGGAAAGTTTATCTTTTTTAGTTAGCAGGTGCAGTTCCTAAAGAGGGAAGCTGAAACCTTGCAACTCATGGTTGGAAATGGCTCATTTAGTTCCATCCTAAATATAAGGGAGATGGGAGTGACTCTGTGAAGAGAGGGGAATGAGACTGAGTAAGCCTTGCGGGAGCCAAACCTAAGGGGAAGGCTTGGACCGTGATTTGTGTTTCATTTTCAGGTAGTGTATTAATAGAGTCAGTCTCTCTGAAGGTGTTAGCTTCTCTCTGGAGCAGAATGAAAAAGCCACGTGTTCACACTTTTATTTGAGGGTGGAACATTGTGAGCAGGGTCCGAATTAGAATGTATTTGAAAGGACTAAGAGAATAAGCCCTTAGGGCTCACCAGCAAACTGCCCCCTCAGTCTCCTCCCTGCTTTCATCCTTCACTTCCAGCGACTGCAAACAGGGGGACCATGCTAAATTAAATGAAGGTGGAAAAGTGGAACCTTTGAGCCCTTGGTACTGCAACACAGCCCGGGATGCATGCTGGGTAACTTTCTAAATAAGCCCTGTCTTGAGCCAGTAGGTGCGCATGTGCTGCAGGTTTTTGTGTACATTCTGGCAAAGCTGTTTTCTTTTTTTAGGCATTTTTTACTTCCATACTACAGAGTAATGAATAATATTAAAGTACTCTGACATACCCCCAAGTTTCTCCAACTCCCCCATCCCGCCCCCAAGCTTAATGATATAAGATGGCTATCACAAAAATATTGGTATGGTAAGGCATAGATTAAATTCACTATCCAAAAATGCTTATTGGTTCTGCTTCCTTTGTTCTTCAATCTTTTCAATCACTTGAAATAGTCATATTGCTACCAAAGGAAACCAATATAAGCTGTTAGGAATCAGCTGTTGTTGACATGATTCTGTAGCAGTACAAGTGTTGCAAAACCACTTCAACTTTAACCTAGCTTCATTCAAGGTCACAGTTGGAGTGAACTAGATCCTGTAACACTACAGGATCACACAGAGGGAACTGCTACAGTGTAGTGGTTGATGCATGCTCCTTAACATCAGTTTTCCCCCTCCCCTCGAAAGCAGCTACAGAATGCGTTGGCCCACATGCTTATTCTTTCTTCCTCTCTCCTTCCATCTTTGATTTGTTAGAAGACTCTCGGTATAATATCCCTCCTTTACTTCTCTTCACTATTCCTTTATTGCTCTTTGTGGGTGAAATGACAGGCTCTTTGAATGAAGGGAAAACTGTGGATTTGGTATACCTTGCCTTTAGACAGGCTTTTGACATGGTCTTCTATGACATTCTCATTAACAAGAGAAAGAAATGGAAACTAAATGCAAGTATTGTAAGGTGGATATTTAATGGGTCAGATCGTCGTACTCTGAGTAATCCTTAATGGCTAAATGTCTAGTTGGGGGGCAGTGTCAGTGGGGCTCCCCAGGGGTCTCTCCTGGGTCTGGTACTGCTTGATATCTACATTAATTATTTGAACAATGGGATCGAGTGCTTAGTAAATTTGTGGATGACACCAAGTTGGGTGGAATTGCAGACACTCCAGAGGGCAGGACTAGGATCCAGAATGACCTGGTCAGCCTGACAAAATAGTCCTCAGTCAAAGAGATGAGATTCAACAAGGACAAGTACCAAGTCCTGTGCTTGGGATGATGATCTCACGAGGTCCCTTCCAGCCCTAAACTTCTCTGAATCTGTGAAATACTTGCATGCACAAATACAGCCTGGGGAATGACTGGCTAGGCTGTGGTACTGCAGAGGAGGACTGGGGGTTACAGTGTACCATAAGCTGACTGTGAGCCAACAGTGTGCTCATCTGTCAAAAAAAAACCCAGCGCCGTACTGGGTTGTGTCACTTGCAGATCAAGGGAAAGATTCTTCTGCTCTGTTCATTGCTGGTGAGGTCTCACCTTAGAGTACTGTGTCCTGTTTTGGACTTTACACTTCAAAAAGAGGTGGACAGTTTAAAAACATGTCCAGAGCAGGACAACAGAAATGATCAGAGGCTCAGGAGATGAGACTTATGAGGAAAGGCCGAAATAATGTGGGTTATTTAACCTAGAGAAGAGAAGGCTGAGGTGAGATTTGATGAGTCTAAAAGTACCCGAAGGGTGATTTATAGAAAGGATGCAGATGGACTTTTCTCTCTGGCTGTAGGGTAGAGGACTAAGAGCAATGGTCTCAAACTATAGCAGGGGAACTTTAGGTTGGAGATATCAACGAACTTTTCTGATTATAAGGGTGATCAAACATTTGAACAGGCTACCTAGAGAAATTGTGGAATCTCTACCCTTGGAAACATTCAAAAGCAGGTTGGACAGACCCTTGGCAGAAAGGCTTTAGTCATGGATGAGTCTGCCATGAGTATGGGGCTGGATTAGATAACCTTTTGAATTTCACCTTCTGTCACGACA